TGCTTTAAAATTCCAACTGGTTAGTAAGGTAGTCATAGTCCATCATTAGCCAGAATTTCTAAGATTTTATGACTTGGTTTGGCATTGTAACATCTCTAATGACAGGGGGACCAATACAGTAATTTCTCATTCTTGTAGAAGTATTTCAAAATGCATAAAAGTGACTATTAAGTGGAAATTTATAGTCAGATTTATGAAAAAAATTATGGCAAGAAATCAACTATGAAACTATATTCTAGTCCTATTTTTCTCTTTCTATCTTTGTTTCGTAAATGTTATTGTTTGTCTTAGGCCATTCAGGCCGATATAACAAAATATCATAGACTGGTGACTTATAAACAACAAAAACGTCTTTCTCACAGTTCTGGCCACTGGGAGGTCCACGGCCAAGGTGCTGGCAGACGAAGTGTCGCGTCCGAGCCTGCTTCCCGGTTCACAGGCAGTGCGCTCCTGCTGCGTGTCCTCACGTGGTGACGGGCGAGGGAGCTCCACGGGCCTCTTTCATAACACTAATCCCGCCCGTGAGCGGCACCTCCTAGTACAATCATAGTGGGTATTATGAATTCAGTAAGAATTTTTTTGGGGGGACACAAATATTTAGACCATAGCATTATTGCTGTTATTGTTGGTAGTGGTGGTTGGGTGTGTGTGTTCGTGTGTACTAGTTATTCAAGTAGTGACAAGGGAAGTAAAAAGGGTTTTGATGATCTAGAAAGTATATAAATCACACATAGAAATACATAACAATTACTTCTATGAAAACAGCTATCAATGAGGTTCTAATAAAAATGAAAGATATTTTGAGTTCATGCAGAAGTGGATATTATTCTAAAAAGTGATGTGAAGTTTAATGGTATCTAAAAACAATTTAGTAAATGACCGTTATTAAACACAGTGTTAGAATTCTAACTTCCATTAAGGACCTCTGCAGTAACACACCAAGGACTTCTCAAAAAAGTTATTTAAAAATAATCACGGAGATGTAAATTACAGCATAGGGGATATAGTCAACAATATTGTAATAACTATGTATGGAGACAGATGGGTGTTTGAAATAGCAGGGGTCCAATCGGTAAAGTATTAATCGTCTAACCACTATGCTGTACATACAGAATAATAGTGAATGCAAACTGTAATTGAAAAATAGAATAAAAAAGAGCCCAAAGACTTTTTTTTTTTTTTTAACCCAACCACCATTACCAACAATAAATTGCTTAGCCCAGACCAAATTTCTGAAGAAAGCAATGCATGCTCCCTATTTCTGAGAAACCCAAGGCCTTCTGAAGCACTCAAAACTTTAATTCTCATCGCCCCCCCATGTGTCCCCTCTTGTCGGCAGAAACTGTCGCAGGTGTACCCAGCTGAGTAAGAGAGAGCTAGCTACCCCGGCCACCCAGGAGGCGGCAAGGAAAAGCCCGCCTGTGGTTGCTTGGAGCCCAGCTCAGTTTGGACTCAATCAAGATTCATCTATTTACTTCTTTTTCAAACAGGTTTATTCTGAAATGGGCAGGGAAAAGTATATCATGACAAAAGGGGGGGATATGTTCCTGACACTTCACAGTAAATCTGGGCAATTCTGAAGCAAAATTATCATCTAACAACGATGCCTCTTCATTGGACTGCCAGGCCCGATGTGGGAGGAGACAGACTGCACTGATACCTCAAAGTTAACCCCAGTAAATCTATGACTTTTTCTTTTTCTTATGCAAGCAAGTGATTCCACCCTCCACTTAAACATTGATTGATAAATTCTTATGCTGATATTCTTGACATGCTTAACCTGATAATGATACATCTACATCTTTAAGTACTGCAATCATGTAGCATTTCTTAAATGTAATGTAAAAAGTAGTAGACGTAAAGGGAAATAGAAACATAGAAAAATATTTTTAAAGGCTGAGGTCTTACACTGAACACATAATCAAAGGCCGTTCTGATTTGTTAGAAGAGACAAATTTAGAATAATATTTCCACACTGTTAACATTCAGCACAGTGTAAGTCAATCAGAATTTTCCCTTGTCATTTATTTTCACTAATCTCTAAGTCAAAGAAAATATATAATTTGGTTGACACTGTAGTTGTATAATTGTTTTGAAATATCAAATATTCTTCTGGTTTCTGAACATTTTTTTAATAGTTCAGATTTAAAGACTGAAAACATGATTTGAACTGGTGCTAAGAGTAACCAAGAAACAGTTTCCAACATAGAAGAAAACCAATTCCAAATGCCCTTTGGGACAGTGTGGATGGACCTGGAGAAAATTATGCTAAGTGAAATAAGCCGGGCAGAGAAAGACAAACATCACATGGTCTCGCTTATACGTGGAATCTAAAGAACTTAATAAACTGATGAACAGAATAGATTCAATGACATGGAAGCATGGATGAGACTGACGAATGTCAGAGGGATGGAGGAGGGAGGGTGGGTGGAGGGGGAGAGAGTAACCAAAGAGTTTATATGCATGTATGCACAACCCAAGGACACGGACAATGATGGGGAGAGGGACGGGGGAGGGGGAGGGGACTGGGTGGAAGGGGTCATTGGGGAGAAAAAGGGACATCTGTAATATTTTAAACAATAATAAAATTTAAAAAGCAAAAACAAATAGAGGTCAAATGATTATTAACAGTAAACAGCCTCATTCTTTCCTCCTTAAGAATCACTTGTAGCTTAAAGAACACTGCCAAATAAATGTTATCACCATCTGTCATCAAGTGTTCATAGACTGCTCGCCACTGAACTTGAAATTCATGGGAGGTTATGTGGAAAATATAAGATACCACCACTGACTTTAAAGAGTTTATAGCAGACTTGAGGGAAACAAAAGCAGAATTAAGTAACAATTAAACTCTGCTTCATTAGATAGCTATTACAAGTACATTCATGTTCAAAGATCAAAGGTAGAAGCAATTTATTTCAATTGGCTTTGTCAGAATAAACCTCCTCCGAGAAGACAGGACTTTGCACTAATCTGGAGGAGAGGCATTTAAAAAGCAGGTAACAGTTTCAGGCTGGTTAACCTGGATGGCTCTTGGACTTTTGACATTATTGCAACCTCAAAGGCCAGGAGTAGAGAGACTGAGGATTTCAACAATTTAAAATATGATCGTTAGGCAACACAAGTAAAGTGGTTAACCAGATGTGGAGCGTGGTGGGATGGATGTTTGCCAGTGACTGTGAAGAAAGTGGTTTGTAATCTGGAAACCATTAAAAATTTCTTGTGGCAGATTCTGTAGTGCTTGATTTACAATCCTGGATTTCCTACTTCTTAACTCTTTCTTCAGCCTTCCTTTCTCTAGCTGAAAAACGAGGATGGGAGAATGTTTCTTATCTTCCAAAAGGAGTCAATATGTGCCTTAAAAGAAAATAAGCATGAAATGTTTGAGAAGCTGCAAACCATTAAGAATGTTTTAATTCCTATTATATTACTGTGGTATTGACTAAAATTTGATTGCTTTGATAAACAGTAAATCACTTCAGGCTGCCCAGGTATCAGTGTCACTTTATGGATTATTTTATTATAGCTTGGTACAAAAATATCACTGTACCTTATTACCTGGACACAGTGCAGGTCAGGCAGCTGGCTTCCCTTTAAATTGGTGATATAGAAGCAATTGCTTNTCCTTATTACCTGGACACAGTGCTGGTCAGGCAGCTGGCTTCCCTTTAAATTGGTGATATAGAAGCAATTGCTTTGAAATAGCTCTGCCTCCTATGGTACTCGGTGCTGTCATTCTCAACTGCAGGGAGCCTTGGATCATCCACAATCTTATCTGTCTTTGCACAAGACCCACATCAGCGATGCCTAGGCCCGAGCCAGACATGGGCCATGGGCCAAAAGGATTTCAATGAGAACCCAGGTTCGGTTACAAAGTGCTTCCTGATTAGGTTGGGCAATGCAACAGCCCACTTCTAGTGGGGATTTTTTTATTACGTGCTTGCCAGCCGGAAAAATATTTTTTCTTTATATTCTGCAAACAATGCACATTAAGTTTGTGCAGAGTGGCTATGAGGTGAAGCATGACATCTATGAGTGTGAAGAGGAACTGGAAATCACATCTCACGATCCATCTCTGATCTTAACATTTAGTGCCAAAACTAATTCATATGTTCACTTATATTTAAAATAGGTTATTTGGAACTCACCTGAACACACATTCACACACATAAAAATTCAATAACCTATGTCATCAAACTTTTTCCCACCACAAAATCTTATTATACTGTGGTTTATCCCCTATGGTTAAGTTGAATTTAATTGTCCAAGATTTTTAGTCACATTTTGAAGTCTTATCTTATCCACATTAGTGAAGTTTATCTTTTGTCTTTAGATGCATGCTAATCTGTAAAAAGTCAATATAATAAGTCTGTAGGCTGTTTTTCTAGATTTTCACTCCCCAGAAGGATGAAAGATTGCATGAGCTGAGTCAGGTATGATGCTGATTGTATCGGGAAGCTGTGCAGGAAAGAGACCTTCCCATTCAGCTTCCCACAAAGTGAGACCAAAGCTCTCAGCCTTCCTCGACTAGAGAATGTCTTGTTTCCTTCCAGCCTAAGTGTTCTGAAAGCCTCTGACACCTCCTCCTTGCTCACCAATGGAGGTGATGTCCTGCCAAGAAGATGAGTGGAGTTTAATAAAATTCCCCAGGTCATGGGAGACAAAGAAGGGACTTTTGTTCCATGACTGGTTTCCGATTGCTATTACGTTCACCGATTGCCTTTGCGGACCTACTGTGAGGACAAGGGCCTTGAGAACAATCCAAGAGAGTATCTAGTTAGATTTTCATGAAATAAGGTCAACATGCTACTCTAATATGATAGCTATGCAGGCCGTGGATTTAGACATGTAAAAGGCCTGGCTATTAAAACTTCAGGGTTCTAACTGCTCCCACAGATAACAGAGAGAGAAAGGGGAGGCAGAGAAATCTGGGTGTTCTTCACCCCTCAAATTTAGGGGGCAGCTCTGGGCTCGCTGCAGACCAGAGCCGGCCTGTTGACATGGCCATGGTCACACCAGTGATCACGAAGGTAGATGGTTCCAGAGGCTTGTGTGAGTCACCCTCCCCTTCCATGTTGCTGTCTGAGTGAAGCCGGAGTGGGTGCCGTCTTGCAACAGAAAGGATTCCAATCTCTAGGGCAGACTTCCCCATGGGCCCCTGACCCCGTCAGCCCGCAGCCTCTCTGGGCTGGGCCCGTGACCCCGGCGGAGGAGCCCCGGCGAGGGCAGGCTGGGCCCCCCGTCCGCAGCGCCGTCGCGGGAGCAGGGCCGGGTCTCCAGGGCGCAGTGGGCAG